GTAGATCATTTGTGAGAGGGGTGAGCGACGGAGGTCCGAGTCCGTAACATTGTTGTACTTGAGAATGGCGTCCTCCCAGAGCTTTTGAAAGCGTAAGAAGCTGGCTGAAGCGCCTTGATGTCCGGGTACAGGCTGTGTGTTTGGGATAGACATGATCAGGAGTGAATAATCGCTGTTGGATATGCAACTCGATGGGGGACGGGCGAGAGAGAGCCGGGACGAGCACCGTGAGGACCTCACACGCGCCCTGATACGAGGACCGTGGGGCAATAGGCAGGCAGTGCCCGACACGCGGCGAGAACTGATGCATCACCACACCCGTCGTCCATTTCGCTCGAAGCCAGCTCGCGTGAGTACATCATAGAGGGCATGGTCATAGATACCACGACAAAAACACTGCACAACGAAACATGGAATACGCATATGCGACCAGATTATTGATTAGACAGTGCACACGCAAACAAGTATGCAAGACGCAGCAGCAGAAGTACATCAAATGTCCTAGCTCGTCGCGTTCTCAAGTAATCGCGGTCGTGGTGGACGATACCGGCGCTCATCCCTTCCGTAGCCGCCTCTGGTATACGGTGCCGGTGATCTCGGCGGAGGCATTCTGTCCAGTGATGCAGGCTCTCGCCTGTCGTAGGGGCGCATATCCGCCTCTACCGTCCATGTATTCGCGATCACGATCACGAGCTGAAGGAGCAGGGCTCACACCCCATGGAGGATAGTCTCTGGCACCGTCGTAGTACGCGCCCGGAGGCCCCGGCGGTGGTGTACGCAATCGCGGTGGCGGCGGGTAGTTACGCCCGACATCGGCCGCACCCGGTGCAGAGGAACAGTATCCCGAAGCATCGAACGCATCGTCCTTGGCTCGCTTCACCGGAGGTCTGAGGTCGTCGACGGCTGAGTTGGTACAACGTGGCAGGCTGGGGCTGCGACAGCAACCCGGTTGTAGCTTTCCGAGTTTGCATCGACCGAGAATAGCGAGCACGTTCGAACCGGTCGCGTTCCTGGTCATCAGGAGGGTACCCGTCGGAAAGAAGTGCACTTGGGGGACGAGTGTCAAACGGGCGGGGAGGCGGTATATCGCCAAATGGTAGGAAAGACGGTGACGCGGGGAAATTCGGCAGCTCATCATCCTCACGGGTCTCCAAGCTAGGCGATGACGGCGATTCACCACGAGCAAACCTTGCGTCTCTATCCTGGTCGTAGTCGCGGTCTTGGTGCGGAGCAGGAGCGCATTCGCGATTGGAGGAAATCGGTTGTGTATGTAGCCCGGTAGTGGAACATCCCTACGGACCCGACTCGATCCAAGGCTTATCATCCGAGCAGCGGCCCCAGGATCTGTCACGCTCACACCGATCAGAATACGATGCACGTTCCAGCAGACGAGACTCACCTCGTTCAGGCGAGACTTGAAGCTACGCGAAGGATCATCATGCACCAAGGACAATAGACGAGCCTTTGGAGGAGAGCTAGATCTTGGTGGCGAGCGGGTCCTTGTAAAAGCCTTTGTGGATGATCGTTTGCCAGAGGCCAACCACGATCTTCAGGTCATGAGAGTCGATCAGGAAGCGAGTATCAGCAACAGATGGACGGGGATAGGAAGGTCGAATCGGTGCTGAAGCACAGTCTGGAACTGGACGTGAAGGCGTGGAGTTCGAACCGGGTGCAGCAGCCGCACGGTCATCCGGCGCAGGTCGATTTGCAGGAGAGGGGTCGCCAGGCCGTGACTTAGAGAGAAGGCTGACGCGCCGATCTATCGTCAGCAGATGACCGTACACGGTCGTCTCCAGGACGAGGAGCCACAGGGGTAGGGACGGATTTTGGAGTGCTGGTAGAGTTATCGTTCAGACGGCGACATTCGTCAGCAGCTCGTGAGGGCGCGTCTCCGCGAACCTCATCCGCAGGTGAGGGCCAGGGTCGATCTGCAAGAGGTCCTGTTGATCTTTCACCATGTCTTGAAGGACGGTCGCCAACTGCACCAGAGAGACAGAGGCGGGGCCAGCCTTGTATCTGCGGCAGTGACAGTCTTGCTGATGCATTGCCATTCACGCTCGACAGGCTGTACTCAGGGCGTACTCTAGACGACAGCAGCTCGATGAGCGACGCCCGCGGAAGATCATGTCAACTGCGCACCTCACTGGGATCCCAGACCCATGCTATGTGTCCGAGTGCATGTGGAGCACGCCGGACACTGTACCGTGAACAGCGTGCTTGGCGGTGGCCTGTTCGAGCAGGACTAGTTTGGAGGCATGTTCAGTTTCCGAGCACGGCTATTACGGGGCTCCAGAGAGACGGTGATATGAAATAACTTACTAGCTGAGCATTTAGTCTGAAAGGTCTCAACCTTTGCAGACGCGAGGCAGCAGCGAGAGGAGAGAGGGGGAGTGGAAGAACAGAGGGGATCTTGGATGCTTGAGAATGAGTTGGGACGAGCAGGAGCGTCAGCGCTTTCGTGTTTAGCGCGCATGCGTTCTGGCTGTATGAGTATTTTCGTCGTTGTGATGTTCATGTTCATCGAGTGCTCATGCGTGCTGTCGACCTCCACAAGCTCAATATAAACCTTGCTATTTCTTTTTGCCATGTAGCCCACCCACTACGCACGGCTGCACCTCTAAATACACTAAATACACTACTATATGCGATCAGTGCAGAAGCCCTTGAGACGGTTACTCAACGCTGAGAAATTGAGCCTAACACCTGCGTATCAAAATCAAGAGGCGTCCACTGCTGAACGAGTCGTTCGTCGCCGTCAACTAGAATTCCGGAGCCATCAGGGGACAAGCGCGCGATGCTGAACGAGATACCTGTGTTAAGGGCGAGGAGATAAGCCCCCGTTCCGATGTCCCACAGCATCATGCGACTCTGGGACATCGGAACGGGAGCTGATGCAAGTCCTTGTTCTCCACTTGCGGGGAAAGACGACTAGGCCAAGTGCGGCTCGTGTGCGGAGGACGAGGGGAACGAGACCCCCTGGTGATGATCGTCGTTCTTCCTCGCACTGCAACTCTTTCATAAGCCCCCGTCCCGTCCGCGAGAGACTGTGCTCCAGGCTAACACAACAAAACCATCAGCATTAGATGGAGCGCACATACAGCAGGGGACGGTACGCACGCGTCGGCGAACATCTCGTTGATATCCTGGGCCTCGTCGTCACCCTGCTCCTTCTGCGTTACCTGCTGCTCGAACCGCAGTCGTTGCTCGAACAGACGTTCAGCCCTGTATAAACACTGCAAAATTGCGCAAATAGACCCATCAAAATACTCGCAAAGACCAGGCTTCGACCGGCGATACTTGGCGACCGGCTACATCACCCGCGGCGTCAGTAGCGTCCAGGAGCATTTGCGCGGGCAAGCTTACTGATGAAGGCGAGGGAGATGCAGAGAGGCTCGATGGGCTTGCCGATCAGCTGGTCCAGCAGACGTGCATTCGTCCGGGGCTCGCTGCACTCCACGAAGCACTGCAAAAGGACACTGAGCTTTCATCGCAACATTGACAGACGAAATAACGGACCTGCTGACACAGCCCCCGCAGGAACTTGCTCGTCCCTTCGGTGTGCAGCATCTCCTCTACTGTCGTGGTCGCGCCCATGGCCGGCAGTCATACTTATCATCGGCGTCTCGACCTCGAGAAAGCCAGGATTGTTGAAGAACTGGTGGAACGTAGTTGACGATGCGACTGCAGGTCATGAACGTGCGCCTCGTTTCCTCGTGAGAACGCCCAGCTGGCGCTTGCGATAGCGGGGTTCCCTGGCCCTCGAGATCGAAGCGGTCCAACGGCAGCTGGCGGAGGTTCGAGTGAGGAGAATCATCTTGGAACGTGTGTTTAAGAGCTCGTCATTCTTGGTACGTCCCAAGGGCTCCAATAACGTGGACGATGTCACCATGGCGGAAGTGCTCGTGTTGCGCGACGAAGCCCTCTGGGTTCTTGTCATCTCTGAGGAGCGATTTTTCCGTGTGCGTATACTTACCGGACAGGCAAGAGACACTCACTGCCTGGCTGCCATGGCCTAAACCTCCTCGCTCTCGCCGTGGAGATACACGAAAGGTATGGATACGTCCCTCAGGACGTTCAACGATGCCCTCGCTCTTCTCCTCGGGCTTGACTTTGCCTGCAGAACCATGCTTTCAATGTAGCGCGGAAGCGGTACCGAGACCCCGATCTGATGAGGGTAGGGGTAAGGCCTTAAGGGCTTCTGGCCTCCTGGAGCTTGCGGACCTGATGCGAGCGAAATTCAAGACAGAGTTCAGTATCTTGAGTTGTAAGACAGTGGATAAAGCGGCGTGCATTCAGCTCGAGGTCTCCCTCGCTTACTTTGCCACTCGACAGGACTCTGCTCCGCCTCTTGAGCAGTTCATCTGAGAGCAAGTTTAGGCAAGTTTAAGAAAGGGCCCGGGGGGAGGAAAAGAATACACACCGGAGATAAGGTTCCCAGTCATCAAGAGCCTGGCGCACGCATCTACCATTAGCGGCTGGTCGTACGCGGTCATCTGTAGGACGAGGAAGCGCAGGGGGCGGGGACTGACGTTGGAGCCTCATTTGAGTAGTCTTCCAGATGGCGGCGTTGGCCAGCAGCTCGGGAAGGTCCAGCTCTACGACACTCGTCCGCGGGCAAGGGCCTGGGACGGATTTGCAGCGGAAGAACGCCCTGTCGATCTTTCGTCGGGTTTCGAAGGGCGGAGGCGGGCGTCTGTCGTCGCCTGGCCGAGCTGTGCGATCGTTAGACGGCGGTCACTGGGAGGAGCAGACTTGGGTCCTCGTTCTTCACTGGCGGGGAGAGGGCGACCATCATCACCAGAAGACCTTGACTGGCGGTCGCAAGTATCACGCCCCGAGCCGCAGAAAGGGCGCTTATCACCCAGGAACTCCCGAGGATGGTTCATATCCCTTCCTCCCCGCCTAACTCGTCCTTCTCCTCCTCCGTCGGTTCGTCTTTGTCGGCACCAGCGGCCGCATCCTCGTTCTCCGCACACGGACCTCGTTTTTCTCGCGAACTCTTCCACAGACGCCTCGAGACGGCCGCCGGTCGCGCCGAGCCAATCCCGCTCCTCTTGAGCGCGTCGTTTCGCAGCCGAAAGCGAGAGCATCTTAGTGTCCTTGCCTCCAGAGCTCGAGGACCGGAACGAGCTCCAGAACAAACGGAGTCTAGACGCACCCGCCGCTTTTCAGCGTACGGTTATGGCGTTTGTTCCATGCGAAGCCGTTGGGGTCGAGCCATTCAAGCAATGAGAATGCTGTCATGGCCGTGCGGGACGGGAACAACGTGCGGAGTGTGGCCTCGTCGTTCATCGTACCCAGCAGCCGAGGCTTGGGTAGGGGAAGAAATAGTGAGAGTGAGAGAGATATTCGTCCGCCGGCACGTTGGTGAGCGTGATGGCGTGGATCCCGGAGGAAGGGAGCCGCGGCGCGAATGGAAAGAGAATACCGTCGAGGCAAGCCCGGATGCTCACGAGAAGAGAAGCGTGTACCCTTGGGCTGAAGAAACTTGCCACCTCCCGGCTGCTCGGCGTGCGCGAGAAGACTGAGATGGTCTTGTCGAGAGTGCTCGACGGGACCCGCGGTATTGGTCGCAGTCTCTATCCCGGGTTTCCTCGTAGGGAACCGTAAGACCTCCCTGATGTCTGAACAGACGGTTAACGAAAGTGAAGATGGCCTCAGAAGAGGTAGACGTACTGGCAGAATCAGTCAGGAACGCCAGGCGGCCGATACCGACGCCCCGCCCCACCCGTCGGCGCGGAGTGAAGCTCCAGGCTGTCACAGCGGGACCATCAGATGGAGAGCGGATATAGCAGGGAATGACACGCACGCGTCAACGAACGTCTCATTGATACCCTGCGCCTCGTCATCACCCTGCCCCTCCTGCCTCACTCTACTCTTCGAACCGCAGCCGCTGCTCGAACGGATCGTTCAGCTCGCATTACTTGGCGGGTGGCGATATCACCTGCGGGCGACCGAGTGTCTGGCTGTCAGTAGCGCACTAGGAACAGTTATGCAAACGAGCTTACCGATCGAGGCAGAGGAGATGCAGAGCTCAGTAAATTCGCCGATTGGCGTGTATTGTCCGGGGGTTCGTTGCACTTGACACCATGCCGCGCACGAACGTTGAGCCTTCGTGGCAATATCAGCAAGTAATATAATAGACCTTCTGGCACAGCTCATGCAGAAACTCGTTCGCTTCTTCCGTGTACAGCGTCTCCCCCGGCACAAAATCCAGCTTCTTCCCCATCTTCGTGAATATGTCGTATCGCGCCCATGGCCGCTGCAAAACCAGCTCATACACACTCTCGCCGTCCTTGCCCTCGGGGTGTAGCGCCACAGTCGTCTTCCCGCCCGTAAGACATTTGGCGAGGCCCCCAGTCAGCCTCTCAGTGGTGTCCATGATATCGTACATGTTCGCATACGCCCCGTAGCGCTCGGAGATCGGGAACTCGAGTTGTGCGTCAGGTAGATGTCCTTGCTGCGGAAGACACGTCCGATCTCGTATACCCCGTCCACACCGCCGAAAATGACCTGCTCTACTGGAGCTCGGAAGAAATACGGAGGTACAGTCAGAGGCTGAGGTCGTTGCGGTGCGCGTTGAATAGCTTCGTGGTCGCACCAGCGGTCATCGGCGTCCCGACCTCGAGGAACCCGAGGTTGTCGAAGAATCAGTAAACGCAGCTGACGATCCGGCTGGGGGCGATGGAAGTGCGCCTCGCATCTTCATTCAGAGCGAAGCTGAGGTGGCGCTTGCGGTAGCGAGTTTTCCGGACCTCGAGGTCGATGCGGCGCAACGGCAGCTGGTGGAGGCCGGGGCCGAGGTGAAAGGACAACCGAGAGTTCGTCCTTCGTGAAGCACCCCAGGGTTCTGACTATATCGACGATGTGACCATGGCAGAATTACTCGTGTTGCGCGATAAAGCCCTCTAGGTCCTTGGCATTTCTGAGGAGCAGCATTTTCGTGAGCTTGTAAGTCGCTGGGAAAGCAAGGAAGACTCACTGCCTGACCGCCGTTATTTGTACCTTCTCGCTCTCGTCGTGGAGACGCATGAGTATTGTGAATACGTCCTGCCAATCTTCTCTCAGGATTTAATCTTGTCTTTGGGACCATGCTTTTCCGTGCAGTGAGGGAAACGAGAGCGAGAACGAGAGCTGGGGGCGGGGGTTGCGGCTCATGATCTCCTTGAGCCTGCGATCTGGCGGATGTTCGGCTTGAAGCCTCCTTCGTTTGCTCGAGAGACCTCTGCTTGGTCCTTTGAGTAGTTCGTCTGAAAGCAAGTTTGGTCAGGCTCAAGAAGAGGAGAAGAGGCAGCGTACCTACCGCCGGCCCCGGCATTTAGCGCAAGAGAGTGCTATCCGCGAGCCCTTGTCCGCTGCAAACGTTGAGGTGACCATTCCTGAATAGGTCCCACATCGACCCCGTTGGCTTTAGCTAAAGCGAAAGAGCGAGCTCGCGCAGGTCGAGTTGCAAGTATAGCCGGGTAACATGCACGAGTGCCCAACAAGGGCTCTTATACAGCCAAACACGTGGCGCTAAACCGCTGATTTAAACTCGTTCTCGTCTTCTTCGTTGCTCCTGCTCGCCATCTCCTCAGCCATGTTCTTCCACTTCCCCATCCCGACACTGCCCCGCGTCTACACCGGCGTCGGCCTTCCCAATTGAATATTTTGCTGGCGAGTTACCTCACGTCGCCGTTTCCCTGGTGCTCTGCAACAACCGTGCCTCCAGGGAGCTGGGCATGCCTCCACATCCGTCCAACCTGAACTCGTCGTCGTCGAGCATGTCATTGGCGATTCAGCGTCCAGCGTGCGCTGTATGTACTCGGACACATAGTGCCTGCAGGCCACGACGAGGTGCGCATGCGCTATCAGTACGATCTTCTTCGGGTCTCGCTCACCAGACCGTTGTCACCCAAGGCATGCCCATCGTCGCCGAATATCAGCGCCAATACACAGCCGTCGCCGGACGGCAGGAAGTTCTTCAATGGCATCGATGAAGACTCGCTCTAGCTGCTCATCGCGTCCTTGCCGTCGTGCACCCTCGCGGGCTCGAGCGCAAGCACGTAGCAAATTCTCGAGCACATCATGAAGACGAGACGGTCTTCAAGACAACGTAGGGGAGCAGGACGATAAAGACAGACTGCCGAGGTACGCTTGCAAGGGTCTGCTCTGCCTCAATAATCTCAACGAGAGTGCTATGCAGGCTTGAGGATGGGCAAAGTGCGGTAGGTATGCACTTGCGGAGCGTCCATGTATAATATTACAGTCTGCAATAACAAGATATGTGCCTAATCTTCCAGAGTGCTACATTCCGAGAACGTGCGAGATATCTGCTGAGCGAGCATACAAAATATACAGCTAGACTCGTCCCCGAGATTTCTCTCCGCTTTCGCCCACTTCTCACATAGGCATTTGACCTTGCGTACCACTCACTCGTCCGTGCCGTCCGCCACACTCCTCCCAATACCGCCGCAACCTCGCCCGGTTCGCCGATTCCCCACGTACGTGTTACGAGCCGTACAGCATATGCGTGACGCGCCCTATCCGCGATGTTCGTGCACGTCGGGCGCCGCAGGTTCACCGCGCGTTGAGCTCTCTTCATCGGCGCCGGCACCACGGTCGAGGAGTAGGCGCACAACCTCAGCGCGTCCCTCCGCCTTCGCATGGTCCAGTGCACGTAATCCGCCGGTGTCCACGACTGTGAGGTCTGCGCCGTTATCGAGGAGAACGCGGCAAACGTCGATGTCCCTATTCGAGGCTGCATCGAACAGCGGGGTGAAGCCATCCTCATCCTGCGCGTCGACAGCTGCCCCATGCTCGCGAAGAATGCGCACAATACTGACGTGGCCTTGTCTTGCGGCAGCATGTAGTGGTGTCCGTCCGGTCTGTGTCCGCGCGTCGACAGCTGCGTGGTGCTCGAGAAGGATGCGTGCGATGTCGACGTGGCCATTCTGTGCAGCGATATGTAGCGGTGTCGAGCCGATCCAGATCTGCGCATCAACGGCTGCGCTGTGCTCCAGAAGGGCGCACACGACTTCGACGCGGCCGTTCTGTACAGCGATATATAGCGGAGTCGAACCGTCCTGCATCTGCGCATCAACGGCGGCGCTGTGCTCCAGAAGGGTGTACACGACCTCGACGCGGCCGTTCTGTGCAGCGACGTATAGCGGTGTCGAACCGGTCTGAAACCTAGTATCGACGGCTGCGCCGTGCTCCAGAAGGGCGCGCACGATTTCGACGTGGCCGTTCTGTGCAGCGATACATAGCGGTGTCGAACCATCCTCGAACTGTGCATCGACGGCTGCGCTGTGCTCCAGAAGGGCGCACACGATGTCGACGTGGCCGTTCTGTGCAGCGACGTATAGCGGTGTCGCACTTTCCTGGGTCTGCGCATCGACAGCTGCGCTATGCTCCAGAAGGGCGCGCACGACTTCGATGTGGCCGTTGTGTGCAGCGACATATAGCGGTGTCACACTTTCCTGGGTCCGCGCATCGACGGCTGCGTTGTGCTCCAGAAGGGCGCGCACGACTTCGATGTGGCCGTTCTGTGCAGCGACGTATAGCGGTGTCGCACTTTCCTGGGTCTGCGCATCGACGGCTGCGCTATGCTCCAGAAGGGCGCGCACGACTTCGATGTGGCCGTTGTGTGCAGCGATCCATAGCGGTGTTGCACCATCCTGTTGCGGCGCGTCGATGGCTGCGCTGTGTTCGAGAAGGGCGCACACGATTTCGACGTGGCCGTTCTGTGCAGCGACATATAGCGGTGTCACACCTTTCTGGGTCTGCGCATCGACGGCTGCGCTGTACACCAGAAGGGAGCGCACGGTTTCGACGTGGCCGTTCTCTGCAGCGACACATAGCGGTGTATCGACGGCTGCGCTATGCTCCAGAAGGGCGCACACAATTTCGATGTGGCTGTTCTGTGCAGCAATATATAGTGGAGTCGATTCAGTCTGGAACTGCGCATCGACGGCTGCGCTGTGCTCCAGAAGGGCGCGCACGATTTCGACATGGCCGTTCCGTGCAGCGACAAATAGCGGTGTCGCACCGTCCCAGTGTTTCGGCGCGTCGATGGCTGCGCTGTGTTCGAGAAGGATGCGCACGATTTCGACGTGGCCGTTCTGTGCAGCAATATATAGCGGTGTTGTATCGTCCTGGATCTGTGCATTGACGGCTGCACTATGCTCAAGAAGAGTGTGTGCAATGTCAATCTGGCCTTCTCCTGCAGCACAATGTAGTGGTGTCCATCCATATATCCCAGGAACACTGCTGCCTGCACCTTGGCTTAGAAGTAACAAGACCACATCTTGGTGTCCTTGGTGTGTAGCAGCAGACAGTGGTGTTCCAAAGAGACCCCCCAGAGCATTGATTTCCATTCCCTTGACCTTGAGCATGGCTTGAATGTAGCGTGGAAGCCCCAGATAGGCTGCCCAATATACAAGAGACTGCCTTCCATTTTGATGTTCGGGTCGTGCCTTCTGCCACTTGAAGAAGTGGTAAGGTGTGGTTGCAAGGAGAAATTGGGACAGCAGATTATCAATGACTTCAGCAACTTGCCCAGGAAATATGTGATCTTGCCAATACCACACAGCATAGTCAGAAAATGGAAGGCTTGATGGTGATAGGTTGCCAGAGAGAAGGGTGAGGAAACACAGTCTTGCCAGAGTGATGTGTGCTGATGGATCATCAATGTGATATAATCTAAGAGAGGGTGGTAATTGGCCTGTGATGAGAAAGTCTAGTGCAAAGGCATGGACAAATTGGACAATCCGAGGATGCTTGACTGTGTCATCATGATTGTCAACAATCTCCACAAAGCTGGAGCACATCTTGACCAGGAAGCCTTCTGGGTCAGAGATACGAAGGCTGGGAATGAGCTTTGAGTTGCTGGTGGCTGAGAAGTTAACTGCAAGAAGTTCCACAAGCTCAGAGGGAGAGAGTGGCTGCTTGGCAAATGCAATACACTGAAATATCTGCTGTCTCCACCTTGCAACAGTTCCATTTGACTCAAGGCTTGAAAGGATATGTTCATATGTCTGAGAAATTGTCTTGGGAAGACTGGTCAAGGCCTCTTCAATATCACCAGGAGGACAGCTCCGCAGCATTTCAAGCTGCAGATTAACCCAGAGAAACCTTGCACAAAATTAAAATGAATTGAATCTAAAATAAGAATAAAACACTTGACATACATGCCATTTGCCATTGACATGAGCTTTTGCTGAGCAAGCTTCTTGATATCCTCTGGCCAGCTTGAGAAGTCATCTCCAGAAAGACCATGGGATACATAGACAGCCAAGTCACGAGTGTGTGCATCAGCATCATGGAGCTTGAGCTGGTGGGCAGGAAAACCAGATATAGCCTTCTGGATGTCAGCCTCAGGCCGACTTGTGAAGAGAATGTGTAGGCCTCCAAGGTTTCTTGACACAAGTCTGTGGAGGGTAGGGAATAGTTCGGATTGTCTGATAGAGTGTGGACACTCATCAAGAGCATCAATGATGATAACCACTCCACTGGTGGAAGCCTGAAGAATCTGCTCTAGGCAGCCAATGAGAAGTTCCCTAGTAGGGCTCAGCTTGGTCCTGTTCTCTGCACAGAACTTCATCAGGACTTGGTGACACTGTTCAGAGCAGGTAGCAAGTTGGTAGATGAGAGAGGCCAACAGGCCAGTTATGGTCTGCATCTCAGTGCGGCGGTAGTCAAAGTAGAAGTAAGCCACGTGCAGGTCAGAGGTGGACAAGATATGTTCAATGATAGATGAGCTGTAATTGCCAAGGCATACCATTAGTGCTAACTGGGTGTTAGCCAACTTTAAGCTGTACACACCAAAGAACACTCTTCCCTGTTCCAGCTACAACACACAGTTAATGAATGACCACCCACAGCTGTATAGAAGACTTACGGTTCCCATGGATCCAGTACACACCATTCTTACTATCTTTCCACTCCTCAAACTTGCTGTCAAAGAACCACATGCAAGTGCCTGCCAAGTGTGAAGTTTGTCGCTCCTCATGATTTTGACTTGGATCAGAGGGAGCTAGCCAGTCACAAATGTCCTTGTCAACTGCAAGCCTGGTTAAGCCAGATTGAATACCCCAGAGATGCAGTCCTCACGGTGTAGGTTGAGAGTGCTAGCTCCAATGCCTCGCAGGTCGGCAAGATCATTGCACACTAGAAATGCATTGGATGAGGATATGCAAAGATGTACTACAATGTGGTGATGACCAACCTGCATTGACATCATTGGCTATGCCTTGTGCCACATCAAGAGTCTGAGCTGTATTGGCCAAAAGCTCCTCCTTTGTGAGCTTGTCTAGCTTCTCAAGCGCATCCTTTACATCCTTGTTACCAAGGAGAGCTCGACCGTAGTCCCCTATCTCAATGATTAGGAGTGACTCCCATGGTGATCTGAAGGTGAATATTCCCTACCCGTGCGCTTCAAAATTGTGTCGCGCAATGACACTTGCTTCCTGACATATTTTGTACAGATTGCGAGTACATCGAGCAGCTGGATGAGCGCGCAGACAAAGATGTCTTCCAGCTGGTCGTTGAGCACCGCGTGTGATCGCAGGTGATTGTGAAGGCGTCCAAGGACCCCTCCGAGCCTCGACAGAAGTCCCTCGATAGCATCGAAGCTCTGGCTAACCTTTTCGGCTGCCTTGATGATTGTTAGCCCCGGAAATGAAAGTTGACAGAGTTTGGCCGCAAATGGCGGGCGTACCTCTAGAAGGACCCCGAACGCCGTGAAAATAGCCTTGCCGCCGGGCACCACACCCTGTTTGTAGATGAGAGAAAGGCAATTAACATAAGCAGAGCACACACTGAAGCCGCAGCCGCCTCGCCACCAGTGTCGATGAACAGCTTCGTGAAGGTAAAGATCGGTGCCACAACGGCCCGGGCCTTCTCGCCGTGTTTGCGAAAAGCCCTGAAGCCTTTCTTGTGCTCTTCGAGGACGCGAATGACTTCCTCGACGGAGTTTGCGTAGATCATTTGGTTGAAGAGGGGTGAGCGACGGAGGTCCGAGTCCGTAACATTGTTGTACTTGAGAATGGCGTCCTCCCAGAGCTTTTGAAAGCGTAAGAAGCTGGCTGAAGCGCCTTGATGTCCGGGTACAGGCTGTGTGTTTGGGATAGACATGATCAGGAGTGAATAATCGCTGTTGGATATGCAACTCGATGGGGGACGGGCGAGAGAGAGCCGGGACGAGCACCGTGAGGACCTCACACGCGCCCTGAT